CATTGAACTCTACAGGGGAACTGCTCACAAAAGCCGTTGTCATGGGAACCCATTATAGTCTGGAACGGTCGGGGACTCGTGTCTCTGCGGTCTGGGAATTGAGAAAAAACATACAATGCGAAAATGGATTTACCATAGCCTATCTCTGTGCTTATGTCCAGCTTTTGGAGTGGTACGCAGTGTGCACTCCATGCACTGTTTTAAGTAGTATGTGAAGCAGAAAGCATTTGCAATGCTCAACATTTCACACAGTGGTATAAAACTTTGCATGACCTTTTGTTTGTGGCATTCAGCTGAAAATTACAATTATTTTGCACTTTTAATCCAGTTTTGTGTAAACATTTCTGAATTTGACCCTCCAATAATTTCAGTCAAGACAAAGGGAAAATTTGTGGCTGATATTACTTTCATTTTTGGGATCTGGTAGTCTAAGTAATCTGAGCAATTGACCCTTCGCTGGGAGCTTTTGATCTGCCCAATCATAAAGCCGAATCTGCTATTTTGTCTGACAAACAAACCAGACAGGAGAGTACATTAACGTCAGTGGACTTGAACTTGAAACATGGTGTTTATTGACATCTTTTCGCGGTTGAAACAAGATAGCTTCTGATGTTCATTCACGTTTATTTCATGCTATAACTAGTAAAGATAAAGAGATGATCGGTTCACATGTCGAACATTGAACTGAGGTGCTATAGCAATCTGTCACGACACATTAAAGAGCCACAAAATGGTATTTATTGTTTGAATTTCATTAAAAAAAAGATTTGAAAGCTGAGTCATTGTTTTATACCAAAAGTAACCAGCTCTGTCTTGTCTGTTGGCACATTGTTAGTGTCCTGCCTCTTTGCAAAATTTACTGTGAACTAAGCCAATCTGAGATACTGAAAACACCAGATCATGAGCTGCTCAAATGCAAATGAACACAGTGCTGTGTTTCACTCTATAATATGCAGCACATGTATTTATTTTTTTGCTGAAAAGCCGTTATTTGAAAACCCATATTGTGATTTTGGTGTTATTTTTTTATTCATGCAGCCCTATTAACATCACCTAAACACAGCACTTTCGTGATAAGCGGTTTGTCATGGAATTATTTCCAATTCTCAAAATAGATAATCCGTCCACATCTTTACCGATGTGTTTCTCCTCCCAGCTTTGTCACCTTCTATTTTTATGAAAGGAAATGAAGTGTGACTCTATCTGGAGTCATTTGGGATATAGAGGATTACAGGAACCTCTGGAGATGACAGAGACAGCAGACAAATAACTAACACTTCCATTCAGTGATGCCTTTTGACATGTTCATGTTAAAGTGCAGTAATTGTTCTGTCAAACAAAAGACCTATTTAAATGTCCCTCCACATGAAGACTCAAGTTCCTTGAAGCAGTGAACACACATGCTCCCTATACATACTAGAGCCCGACTGATATATCGTTTTGCTGATTTTATCGGCCGATATGAGCCTGTCGCAGATATATCGGTATCAATTTGCCGCCGATATGAAATTTTTTTACAGAACATAAAACGCAGATAAAATGCTTGTAAATTATGTAATTACGTAGTTTGTCCAGCAGAGCTTGCTCCATTGTTTGCTACTGGCAACCTGGATGAAACGCTTCAAAGCTTAAGTATATGGAATACCATTGAAACGTTGACCGTCCATATCTCCGTAACGGCGTGGCGGATCCGCAACAAATTCGAGGGATCCCTTTAGCTCGAGGAACCCCCTCGAACGCCGAGTGTACGTCTCGAGGCCCTGTTTCGAATGAGACCACCCCCGCATCGATAGCCCCTGGGGTCAGGGAGTTATGAGCGGTTAAATTCGCGGTTGGGCGCCGACCGATCTGGCGATCCCGGTTGGCTAATGAGGGTGGTGTTCGAGAGGGCTCCTCGAGCTGAAGGGATCCCCCGAATTTGGTGGAGATCCGCCGTCGCGTTCGCGAGATAGTGACACCAGCCAACACTTTCACTTCACTTAAGTCTCATTCCGCCATGATTCCAGTTTCGAAGGGAACGTACACGTTACATTCAAAGGGCATTAAATTGCGCAAGACATAAATTTAAATTGTATTTATTTACAGAGGTAGGCCTATATTATGTAGGTGCACAGTGTCATTCACACAAACACTAAACACCATCATGGTAACACACATGAAACTGAAATAATGCAATAAACATTCATTTAACAACATTAGGTGTAACATACAACCCTAAAATATAAAACTGATAAGAAAAAAATAAGAAGAAACAATTATTTAAACAAAAAAAAACATAAAATTTGAAACGTAACGCAGGGAATTCTGGGAATGTAAATTTACAGTTATTCACTGGAAGAAACATAGTTATTTCAACAAAAAAACATCAAATTTGAAATGTAACGCACGGAATTCTGGGAATGTCAATTTACGGTTATTCACTGTAAATTATACGGTCTTTTTCACTTCTAAAAACGGTATACTACCGTAAAATTACATATAATGTCCAATACAGTTTTTCACCGTATATAGTAGGGGAATTTACCATTAACCATTTAACAGGTTTTTACTGTAGCGTTTTTACAGTCTTTTACCATTAAATTCACGGTTATTTTTTTACAGTGTACTGTATTCTATATATAGTACCAGTCAAAAGTTTGGACACACGAATGGAAAAGTGTCCAAACTTTTGACTGGTACTGCACTATAGTATACACAAAAAATATCAGCCTTTTTTTACTCCCTAATATCGGTATTGGTATCGGCCCCCAAAAAACCCATATCGGTCGGGTTCTAATACATACATACATACATACATATATACATACATAGTTATACATACATACATGCATATATATATATATAGATAGACAGACAGATAGATAGATAGATAGATAGATAGAGATATGATAGAATTCAAATCCTAATGATGCCCGTCTAAAGAAAGAGAATCCTGTCAGAAACATTCAGCTCTCTATCCAGCCTCGTGATTCAACAGTCTCTCTTACGCAACATTCATTCGATTTTGAAGGAAGAAGTGTGTGAAGTAGAGCGTGACTTAGAGAACCTCTCAGTTTCACACACTCCACTAACTCAAGTCTTCATAATTCAGTCAACTGAGCAGGTGAAATTAGAGAGAATTATATAAATGAGTTCTCTGTTGTTCCTTCAGGATGGATGGGGTTTGTTTAATACAGTGACACTCTTCATCCCTGACTGTAACATGACTTCATCTTATTCCTTACAGCCTGTGTTGAAGGATGAGTGTGTTTCATAAGAATAAATCAAGCAGGCACAAGATCAGGGCACGGCTGAATAGACCTGTGTGTGTGCTTGTTCTCAGATTTCCGTACCTGCATTAGGTTTCATGGTGTTGAAATTCAGGTAGCTGAAAAGCAATTCAGTGATCAGATGACTGACTACTTGGATTGAGAGTTTCAACATGTGCTAGCAGTACAAAATTATGCAATGATGAACATGAGTAAACATTTACCATCATGCTTCTAGTCGGCATGAAAATTCACTCTTTTCTAAAAACATGTTATAGATCTTATTAACAATTCATCAATTTATGTTTTATAATATAATCAAAATGTCACAAGTTTCAAATTCAAGCGTCAGTCAGTCTCTATAGTAAAACTCATATTGTGATTTTGTTCCCCATATTTTCATGTTGGTTGCTTAATGTGAGGAATATTCCACATTCATGTTCCCACATGACTTCTGGAGGGAAAAAAAACGTATTTGCACACCTTAGATAAACTTCGATGGTAAATCTTCCACTGTTAGAAAAAACATGAGTCATGAATGATGTTTTCTTTAGTAGACAGCTTGTATTGTCTTTGATTTGAATTGTCAGTGAGGGTCAGACTAGTGTTCTTAATATCCAATTTAAACTGTGTATTATGTCACAGTTCCTTATAAAGTTATTGGCCAGTTGGCAAACAAATTTTCTTGCAAATGCCTATTTTTACTCTATGTACGTTTATATATGAAATTGTGAAACTTTGAGTGTCAAAGAAAAAAACTCTGTTTGAGAAACACGTCTGTTGTATTAGAAAGGCAAAATTGCATCAGTCTTGTGAGTGGATGGAATTTTATCATAACTGTGTGTGGAGCGCCACAGTAGGAAACACTCAGTCACTAGAGTGACTGTGAGTGAGTGTTTGTGCTGGAGGACTCATATACAGAAGAAAACCCCATCACACAGCTTTTACATGTGCAGGCCTTGTGGACGAGGCCAGTGGGAGTTAGTGGTGGGATAAATGACGTTGCTATAATCTCATTATGTTCAGACTTCTTTTCCATAGACTCAGCAAACCACATTAAATTAAAATAAACAGTGGCACAAAAATGGTCGATACACTGCTAAGTCGATGCTTTCATTTTCTTTCAGCACAAATCTGTTGATTTTAATGAAGTTTAGTGCCATTAAAAGTGGCATTGTCATTAACCTGTGCCATTCTGTTAGCCCACATATGACAGAAAGTGAAAATGGGATTTTACCCAGCAGTCTGTCTGTATTCACCCATTCCTGTTTTTTATTTATTTAATGAAAACAAACATAGGTGCAATAACATGATTTAGGGAAAAATCACACTAGAAGTGATCATGTTTGATTTTTGCAATAAGGTACGAGAGGCTGTGCTATATTGTGAATATTGTGTACTTTCTCACAGCTGAAACCTTGTACTAACTTATAAGCATCTAGGACTCTCAACTATTCGTTTTATAATGTATCTGATAGCTCTCTGTCCTCCTCCTATCTCCATTTCCTGCAGTGGAGAAGTTTTTTATTTCATGGAAACAATTAAATACCTCACGCTGTGATGTGTTTCAGTTTAATTCAATGCTGGTTTGCTGCCAAATGATGATTTATGAGTGAAAATATCACAAAGAGAGACAGAAGTGATGGTGTGATATCAGAATGGATGTGCAGTGGCTGGGCAGGGGAGGATAACAAGAGATACTCATTCATGTTTTTACACATTTTAAATTAATTTATCATCTTTTCCCTGTAGAACTCTTTGAAGAAGAGAGGTGCCAGACCAAACAACAAACCTGATAAAAAAGCATTGCCTCAGGTAATAATACACTCTACTACAATACATCTGATGACTGAGTTTTCTTCTATTGTGATATTATTACGATTTGAAAGAGGACTGGTAAAGTACAGCAATGATATCAGACTGTACTTTTAGAAGCAGGTGTTATTGATTTAAAACTTACATTGTCTTTGTAATCCTATAGGGGATCCTATACCTCCTTCATAATCTCTCCTACCAGAACTTAAAGGAATAGTTCACCCAAAAAATTAAAAGTGATTAATTACTTGCCCTTATGTTGTTTCAAACCTGTAAGGCCTTCTTTCATCTTCGGAACACAAATTAAGATATTTATGATGAAATCCAAGAGCTTTCTGACGATGCATAGACAGCAACGTAACTACCACATTCAAGGCCCAGAAAGGTCCCAGAAAGGAACCCGGATACACTGTGTTTACAATCAGAGGAATGCACACGCAAGTGTTGTGGTACTTTCGTAAACGCATGTCAAAGACTGACACGGAAGAGAAGAAATTGCTGAATAAAGTCATTATTTTTGTTTTCTTTGCACACAAAAAGTATTCTCGTAGCTTCATAACATTACAGTTGAACCACTGATGTCACATGGACTATTTTAACGATGTCCTTACTACCTTTCTGGGCCTTGAACGTGTCAGTTGTGTTGCTGTCTATGCAGGGTCAAGCTCTCGGATTTCATCAAAAATATCTTCATTTGTGTTCCGAAGATAATCGAAAGTCTTACGGGTTTGGAATGACATGAGAGTGAGTAATTAATGACTGATTTTCCATCAAGAACTGTGTGAAGCAAGGCCTTTTTGGCCACTGGCTCCAGCACCAGTACAGTGGTGGAGGAAAAGGGGTATAAGGGGACAGTGTATTGTTTAATGTTGTAGCGGCTAATAATTGTTTGGTCTCTGCAAATGTTCCTCTCCAGCCTCCAGAGGACAGTTCAGACCTTAAGTGCCAGCTTCACTTCGCCAAGGAGGAATCAGCTCTCATGTGCAAGAAACTCACCAAGATGGTTAAAGACAACGAGGCCATGAGGGAGGAACTGGCAAAGTATCGCTCTCTGTACGGAGATGTTGATGCCTCACTTACTGTCGAAGAGGTCGCCGATTCTCCTCACACCCGAGAGGCTGAGGTCAAAGTCCACCTGAAACTGGTGGAAGAGGAGGCGAACCTTCTAAGCCGACGGATCGTAGAGTTGGAGGTGGAGAACCGCGGCCTTCGTGCCGAAATGGATGATATGAAGATCCAAGATTCCCCGGGTGGAGTCGGAAGTCAGCTGCTGCTTTCCACGTCTGAGAATGTGATGGAGCTACAGCGCCACCTACAGTTTGTGGAAGAAGAGGCGGATCTGCTGCGGCGCTCCCTGATAGAAATGGAAGAGCAAAACAAGCTGTTGATGAACGAGCTCAACCACTACAAGTCTGAGCTTCCCGCTGTCACTGAAATACAGCCGTTGTCATCCACAACCATCACTTCACCCACGATCATCCCTGGTGCTTCTGAAGATGGAGGATCTGGTCTAAACGAAGCCAGCCATAAAGAACTACTTGCTGCCAGGCTTCAGATCGCAGAGCTGAACGGCAAAGTAAAGAAGCTCCAGTATGAAAACCGTGTGCTTCTGTCCAACCTTCAACGCTGCGACTTGGCCTCCAACCAGGGCTCCACACGTCCAGTGCTGGAGACTGATGCTGAAGCAGGGGACTCGGCTGAGTGCGTCCCCAGCCAGGTGCACCGTGAAGGCCCAGTTGGTGACGAGCAGAACGATATTCTGGAGGAGAAGAATCTGAAAGTTTCAGGAACAAGTCACACTCATACTGCTCAGTGCCTCAGCATAAAAGACCTTCTCGCCATCCGCGACCAGGCACAACTTGTTACCTCAGCCATTCAGCTTCTGACGTCACCCGACCCCTCCTGTATCTCACCGGATGCCGTCTATCATAAGATTACGACAAACGAGTCTGCAGAACCAGTTCTGCTAGAGAAGAGCCAGACCCAGAGCTCCACGCTGCCCCTGGTGGAGGCCCTGCATGGCAGACTGCAGTCCCTCCAGGCTCAGCTACAGGCCCTCAGTGAGAGGGTGGATGCCCTTGGGCAGCCCCCAGAGAGGGAGCGTGTGGAAGGGATGTGCCTGATGCCCCTGTTGTCTGAGGCAGAAGACCCTGCAGCAAATTGCTCATGCCCTGCAGATGCTCAGTTCAACCAGAACACGACCCAACAGAAGGTATACACACAATCTCTTAGTCAGATATTCCCTTGCATCTTTATTCTTTCCTTTTTGCTTGGAGTTTTGTCTGTTTTTACCAGCAAGTTTCCTTTTTGTTGCTTTGCTTGATTAGATCATTGAGTTGTATTTACACGGCCCTATCCCTTAGAAAGGTTTGCCGACCACTATAACAATGCATGCTTGTAGTGCATTATAAGGCCTCATAGTGGATAGCATTTAGGCCTCTAGTGGAGTAGATCATCATTATTGTGGTAAAGAACTGACCCGTTGTAAAGGTTTTCATTTTGATTGAGGAATCCACTTTTCTGGTAATTGATATTTTATGTGTAGATTCAAATGATATGAATAATTTGGTATAATATGGTATAATAATTTATTATAAAATGTAGACTTGGCTGTTTCCAATAAATTTTTGACCTGACTATTCAAGCAATCATAATGAGATGTCTAATCCATGCATGTTAGCAAATAAGTGTAAAATCATTATTTGATATTCATAGATATTTTCAAAGAAAGATAATATCTCAGTATCTTAAAGGATTAGTTTACTCACCCCATGTCTTCCAAGATGTTCATGTCCTTCTTTCTTCAGTATAAAAGAAATTAAGATTTTTGAGGATAACATTCTAGGATTTTTCTTCAATGGGAACCAATGTGTTGAAGGTCCAAATTGCAGTTTTAATGTAGCTTCAAGGGGCTCTACACGATCCCAGCCAAAGAATAAGGGTCTTATCTAGTAAAACAATCAGTCTCTTTCTAAAAAAAAAAAAATGTATATACTTTTTAACCACAAATGCTTGTCTTACACTAGCTCTGCATCCATTACGTAGTCATATTGGAAAGGCGGAAGTATTGACCCAGTGTTTACAAAGGGAACGTGTAAAGAAAGTCAAACTCCCTTTACAAAAAAAGGTAAAACAACAATGTCAGACGATTTTGAAGTGGGAGGAGAAAATGAGATGGAGTTACCTTACCCTACCTTTTTGAACTGGAGTACACAGACGAAGAACTAACCATGTGTGACCTTTGCAAAGTTATTACGTAATGCGTGAGGTCACTGACGCGCATCACAGAGCTAGTGCAAGACGAGCATTTGTGGTTAAAAGTATTTATTTATTTTTTTTTTTTGGAAAATGACCAATCGTTTTGATAAGACTCTTATTCCTCAGCTAGGATTGTGTAGAGCCCTTTGAAGCTGCATTGAAACTGTAGTTTGGTCCTTCAACCCCTTGGCCACCATTGAAGTCCACTACATGGAGAAAAATCCTGGAATGTTTTCCTCAAAAACCTTCATTTCTTTTAGACTGAAGAAAGTAAGACATGAACATCTTGGATGACATGGGGGTGAGTAAATTATCAGGAATTTTTTATTCTGGAGGTGAACTAATCCTTTAAAGCCACAGGTCACCAAAAAAATCATTCATCATTTGCTCACCCTCATGTTATACAAAACCTGTATGAGTTTCTTTCGCCTGTGGAACATGAAAGATGATATTTGGAAGACCGTTTCAACTGTTTTTGTTCATCCAATGAAAGTCAGCAGGGTCCAATACAACACTGTTGTATTAGACAGAAAAACACTGAAAGATTTTTCATTTTCTGACACATTTGAGGTTTAATCTAACAGGCATTCATTTAGGCTCCATTAGAGGCCCAAATCTTGAGATCCAATCCAGACTCTTCCCTTCCTCCTTCTCTCTCTCTTTTTCCTCACTGCATGGGCACCATGACCTGTGGTCTCTGCAAAATTTCTTCCTTTGTTTTTCTTCTTCTTCTCCCTCTCTTTATGATTCCTTTGTTTCACACTACCCCATTTCCTGTTTCCTCCTCCACAAACCAAAGATGATGCTTTCACTTCTTGTTGTTTTGCTTCTTTTTGCCATTTTGTCTTATTCCACAATGGCCAAACTGTTTTTCCTATACATACTTTTCATTGTCTTGTGAGTTTTTATTTGCTGGTGCTTTATGGGTATCATTATGCCTTTTTTTCTCCATGTTTCATTTGTCATTTTGTTTAAATATGTCTATTCTGTCCTTACATCCCTCCAAATGTTTTATATACCCATATTACACATCACCTTTTTTGATTCCTTCATCATATTCCTCTTGATCTCGTCTGTCTTCTATCATGCTCGTCTTTTATTGTTGTTTTTTGTTTTCCTTCATTAACTTGCCCATGCATGCATGCAACAGCCTGATTCTAGAGACCAGCCAGACTGTGAGGTCAAAGTTCACCCGTGCAAGGCAGAGGAGGAGAGCAACAGCCACAAAGACAGCAACAAAGACGAGGAATCTGAATTAAAGGAAACAAACTCTGATCTGGTAAGGCACTACAAACAAATTTCACTTCTGCTGTTGTCTTACAATTGAACACACAATGGCTCTGTTCCAAAACCCATTGTTCGCCTAGACAGTTTTTAAGTGATCTCTTTTGGACAAAATCTGAGGCAGCATGTTGCTCATCCTTCATGCATAAGGCAATCCCAGAATGCATTTAATCCATAGAATTAGTGGTGCTTTCAGTTCTCTCAGTTGATAACTGGTAAATTTCAAAAGCTCAGAAGTTACAATGAAGACTCAAATCTGAATTTCATAGGGAATTGGGAAATTAGGGTTTAGGTAATGACTGCAAAGTCTATTAAATGGGACATTCATAGAATCTGAAGAATATTTATGTGGTTAAAATATAAAAATACCCATGAGTTCATAAACAAAACAAAGCCTGTTCACCCATGCAGAGATATGAGCAAATATAGTTCTCACTGCCAACATGGTTTAGTTTTGCCCTAGCCCCACTACGCTCTTACATTACACTATATTTACCTCAGTACAGAAACTGATGTGTCTGTACAGACTGAGGCCTACTTCTTTATTGTCTCTAGTAAATTTGGTGCAATTTGGAAGGCCAGTGATCTGTTAGGTTTGCACAAGATGTCATAAAAAACTCCTGAGAAATATGCAGTATTTAAATTGAAGGCAGTTTAAAGTTTTGACATCATGATTAAAAATAGTCCATTATGCTGAGCTTTAAATCATGAAAGAATGCATTATGTGATTTGGTGTCCCAAACACTGTGCCAAACGCCCTTGCAGCATTCCAGTGAAACCTCCAGTCATCAACAGTTTCCACCCAAACAATTTATCATCCACCATTTCCACTAACTAGCAAATGTGATTTTCACAAAGAAAAAGAGAAAACCGCCTGATCTCATGTTTTGAAATTTAGGGTGGGTTCAATGTAAAAAAAAAAAAATCCAAATATTATATATTATATTCTCATATATAGAAGTCATGTATATTTAGGCGTTTTTTTTATTTTATTTTTTTACCTCAGCCTGATATGAAGTGTTTCTTAGAGGGCTTAATATAATTTTTTAAGTTGAAAGCAGGGGTCTCAAGAAACAAGTTTGTTTTTGTTAAAAACTGCCAAAGCTGCCCATCTGCAAGTGTATGCTTGTTGCGGACTTATTTTTAGCAGTGGTGCTTTAACTTTATCCCATTTAAACCACCTACTATCAACTACTAATCCAAACAAAAACTACGAAAATATCTGGTTGACCAAACAATCGACTATTCTAGGACTAGGTTGTGTCTTACAGTTCTCTGCAAACTTGATGTCATGTTCAGACGGTTTCTAATCTAATTTGATGGGGTTATTATTTTGCCATTGTAGCACAGAAACATTTGACATTTACAAAGCAGCAAGTTTTGCCATTTGTTCCAGTTTATTTGTATTACAAATACTGTGCAGCTACAGCATTTACCAATTACGTGCATTCTCTCTCCTTCTCTCTGTTTTCATGTTGTTCTCTAGCTGACAGAGCAGGTTGGTGAGCTGCAGCAGAAGCTGTGGAGTCAGGAGAGAAACCTGCTGGTGCGCAAACTTGATGTCATGTTCAGACGGTTTCTAATCTAATTTGATGGGGTTATTATTTTGCCATTGTAGCACAGAAACATTTGACATTTACAAAGCAGCAAGTTTTGCCATTTGTTCCAGTTTATTTGTATTACAAATACTGTGCAGCTACAGCATTTACCAATTACGTGCATTCTCTCTCCTTCTCTCTGTTTTCATGTTGTTCTCTAGCTGACAGAGCAGGTTGGTGAGCTGCAGCAGAAGCTGTGGAGTCAGGAGAGAAACCTGCGGGTGCAGGAGTCACAGCAGCTCAAAGAGAGCCTGCTCCTCATCAGCCTCAAGCTGCGCTGGCTCCTCAAACAGTGGAGACTCGGCAAGAAACTAGACACAGAGAGCAAGGATATCCTAGAGGTATGGAGCCTTTTTTATTTGGTGAATTCACTAGGAATGAATTGTGCAAATTGTGCCTTGTTTGTAAAAAAAGGAAGACAATGCAAAGACTGTTTTTTCCACAGCTTGGCACTGCCCAGCATCTTGTTGTCTTCAAAGCCATTTTTATCGTTTGGTTTCTGCTTATACCTGCGTGTTTGCCTCTTTCGTAAACACTACATGTGCGAATCAGTGGGTGGGGCTAAACAGGCAGAGATGTCGAGGCGTTGATCTTCTTCTGTGGAGGCGGTGCTTATCCACACTATTACATCATACAGTAGAACATTCCAAAAGCTGTCGATTTTGCAGATTGGCTTCAGTATAAGCTGTTTTTAGGCTAATGACAAAGTTTTGAGTTCTGAAACTTACAGGACGTTTTTATAGTACAAAGACCTCTTATATGTCAAAAGATCAAAGGAATTTTGGTTTCTCAGTTCATTACCCCTTTAAAATAAATTAAAATGGGAAACAGCTATTTTAAATTGTAATAATATTTCACAATATTACTTCATGTTTTTAATGTATTATAATCAAATAAATGCAGCCTTGGTTAGCATAAGAGAGTTCTTTCACAAAAATGTTACCGACAGCAAAGTTTTTGAACCGCGTACTTTGTAAATATTATTTATGTCCGGTATGTTTTTCCAGGTTAACAGTGTAAAAGATTTTCGTATCCTGCTTGAGGAAGATGGTCTGTCCCACTATGGAGACAACAAGATGTCAGCTGCTGAGGAGCAGCCACTCAACCCTACACCCAAAGAGCACAGCCTGGCAGAGAAAAGCTGCCCACAGGTGGGTTAAAACAGAGATTGGCACAACTCCTTACTTCTGCACAATACTAACATGCTTTACATTTGAATCTTATTATGGTCAAGACTTCATGGGGATGTTCATGTAAACAGCTTCCGTCTCCTGTTGTCTTCAGCAGCCTGGTGGATTCGGCAGTACTCTGTCGGACCTGAAGGTGGCGCTACAAGACCTGAGCGCTGAGCTGCGCGAGGAGCGTCAGAGTTCACAGGAGTTAACGCAGCAGTTTGCCCGTGCTAAAGCATCATGGGAAGTCGAACGGATGGAACTCAAGAGCATTATCACTCAGGTGAGTGATAATGGCTGAATTTATAACTGGTCTTTTCCATAATTCAAGTGCCAAAATTTGTTTCTAAAGAACTCGACGTCTTCATTTTACATAGTAAATGCCTGAAAATGCAGTTTGTTTCCTGCTTTGCATTTTGAAACTTTATAATAAAAGCGTAAAGTGACCTTTAAATCAAAATATTCCTGTAACCAACAGTAAATTTGTGTAGATCAATCCATGTCATCAGCAGGACTGTGGACAGTTGTTGAAAACTTATCTTAGCTGGAATTATCCCTTTAAGATTTGAAAGCAGTTTAAAGGAAAATTTTGTTATGGAGAGACCAAAACTGAACTAATACATAGCCAAAAAAAGATATCTGTAAGTATCTGTAATTTGTCATTACAAAGATGCTCCTATCAAAGATTTACAGCAGTGGAAGGAATAATTATGCATGCAGTCATTTTCTGTTACTTATTTATTTTTAATAATTAAAAAAAATTGATTTATAGAGTACTTTGTAGATACATTACAGAGTACTTTGTCAAGTGGGAAAATTCTCTGTTAAATACATGGTGGCTTGTAACACAATAAAATCTGAAAGAGTCCATAGAGGTGAATCATTTTATAGGTACTTCGCACTGTAGGTGTAAAGTAATTACTTTAACATTGATCTCACTGGGTAATTTAACTCCTGCACTCAGGGCCATAGTCATTGATTTAACATACACAGATTACAGTAATGCCTCTTGGGAGATTCATTCTGGAAGCCTCTGGGAGAAGAGCTTTTGAAGCCAGATACATTTATTGTGGTCAGTTTGCTGTCACACAGGCTGAAAAGATGCTGGATGTGGCCTGAAATTTTGTTATTTGATCTGGTGTTGGTTAGGACATGCACCAGTATTCTGGGGAGAGAGCTGTGTGAGCCATCTGCAGTGTGTCAGCAGCAATGTGGCATTTCACTGGGGGGTGAGAGGGAGTGTGTGTGCTTACAGCTTGTTTCTGAGCATGAATGTGAAAGATGAGTTTAATATCTTTGCTCTGAGATGCATTAATGACTACAGTCTACTTAAATGGCGTAATTAATGAGCTGGGGGAGGAAGAGGACTTAGACACAGTTTGTGGATCAGTCTGATAAAAACAGAGGGCTACAGTTTAGAAACAAATATGGAATAAAGTAGTGATGCAGTGAATTTTGACAATGATAGAAAATGGGGCGTTTTGACTAACACCGTGTCCTAACTACACGCGACGCGACGAGATTCCAGCGACAAGCAATTTGGGTATCCACACTAGACGCGATGCGACAGAATAAATCAAATATCACAGCCAATCAGAAGCGTGTGTGGGTGGGCTCTCTCTGGAAGTGCTCTGCACTCACAACGAAATGGATAAGTTTATAATCTAATTCATAAATATTAAACCATTTTTTTAACATTATTAAAAGTACATACTGAGTGACTGATACCATAACATTTTTAACATTATTAAAAGTACATACTGAGTTACTGATACCATGTTATGGAATGCACTCTGTTCGCAGTGAGTTCACAGTTTTAACGTACATCTTTGCTTTAATTTATTTTCAAGATCTGAGGTAAACTGTCTGTTTTTGCTTTAAGTATGGCTATAAATGCCACGCAATATGATAGTCAAACTTTTAACATTGAATAAAGCACATAATCTGTACCTGAGATTATAACTCTTTTGTTTCTTTTTTGCAAACCATTTATTGGAGCTGAATACCGTGAACAAAAATCAACAGGCTACATAAAAACTGGACTGTTTAAGAGCCGTTTGTGTGCAAAATAGATTCTGCATGATTCTGGATAAATTGAGTTTTTTTTTTTCTTTTTTTCCCCAATGGACGTTGTGGTTCTCTCATGATTCTGAAGATGTGGCTGAAAAGACTGTGAAGCTGTTTCATTCATGACAGACAGCTGCTCTCTTTAGGTCGATGGCAGTGCGAACAAATTTTAACATTCAAATCACACTGGTGTGATCGTACTCTGCACGGATGAACCAAGTGATCACAACATTGATCGCACACGTCAAAGGTTGAGGAATGAAACAGACAAATCATTGTAATTTAGGAATAGAATTACGTTGGTGTTTGAATCGTTTGCGATCTTTAACGATCTATTAAATTAAAGCGCTTTGTCATGTTGGTGGTGACACCTCTCTTGCAACATGTTTAGCTATCACAGATGTTATACTTAGCATTTTAGGCTTCTGATCACAAATGTAGCCAAACTTTGGAGTGCTTAGATTAGCGAGCAAGGTCCTGGCAGATCGCTAGGTCCGGTCCTCACAGATGAAGAAAAAAAAAAGCCAGATGAAAAAAAAAAAAAAAAGGGCATAGGAATCGATAGGCGGAATCGTAATTTTTATTTGACAAGTATCCGATTCCTGACCTTAAATATCCGATTCTGGAATCAGAATCGATTTTCGATTCCCAACCCTAGTTATAGTCATAGTGCCACCTACTGTTAATAGGAAGTGACATGTTTAACACTGTGATGCATTATTAGCAACACAGTCAAATATGCCATTGTGTGCTAAACATGTTAGAAACATGCTCAAACATGCTAGCAACACTTGCTTAGTGCTAACGCATCAAAAATCAACAGGCTACATAAAAACTGGACTCTTTAAGAGCTGTTTGTGTGCAAAATAGAACTGCATGATTCTGGATAAATTGTTTTTTTTTTTCTTTCCCCAATGGACGTTGTGGTTCTCTCATGATTCTGAAGAAAAAACATTAGACAACTTAACAAAATCACATGTAATTTATTAATTAATGATTAAATGACTCACTCAAGATGTTCTTGTTTCATTACTGGATGAATCAGCGTTCTTGAACGAATCTCTTGTATGAATGATTAAGTGACATGTTTAACACTGTGATGCACTATTAGCAACACAGTCAAATATGCCATTGTGTGCTAAACATGTTAGAAACATGCTCAAACATGCTAGCAACACTTGCTTAGTGCTAACGCATGCTATTAAAACCATCAAACAGGAAGTTGTTGTAACTCATGCATACAACGTCCAATCTGCCAAAAAACTTCACGTTTAATAAGAGTCCTTGCCTGAAGATATCTACATTCTCATATTTGGTTATAGTTATAGCGCCACCTACTGGCAACAGGAAGTGACATGTTTAACACTGTGATGCATTATTAGCAATACAGTAAAATATGCCATTGTGTGCTAAACATGCTAGAAATATGCTCAAACATGATATCAACACTTACTAAGTGCTAAAGCATGCTATTAATGCCACGAAACAGGAAGTTGTGAAACAGGAACTCATGCATACAATGCCCAATGTGCCCCAAACTGCACACGTTTTATAAGAATCCTGGCCTGAACACATCTAAAGGCCAATATTCAGTTATAATTTCAGCGCCACCTGCTGGCAACAGGAAATGACTTGTTTTACACTAACTTAAACATGCAATGTTCGATCTACCCATAACTTCACATGTTTGGTAAGAGTCCTGGCCTGAAAACATTTACATGCCAATATTCAGTTATAATTTCAGCGCCACCTGCTGGCAACAGGAAATGACTTGTTTTACACTAACTCAAACATACCATGTTCAATCTGCACCAAATTTCACAGATTTGATAAAAGTCCTGGTCTGAAGACATCTACATGCCAACATTCAGTTACAGTCATAGCGCCACCAACTGGCAGTAGGAAGTTTGGCACATATAAATGACTTCCTCCTATATTTATCACTTTAAATGCATATTGCCCACCGTTAGCTGTTTTCCTAAAGCCACTGGGTGCGAGGGCCCTTTCATAGCTGCTTGCAGCTTTAATTTAATATGTGTTTGAATAAATTTGTCAGGTTATTACATAAATCAGATTATTCCAATTGAGTATTAAATAAACTTTAGTTGGTGTACCATCTTTACAGTTGAAATACCAGTTTAATGTACAGAAACAACTGTAAGTAAGCCAGTCGCAGTATGATTTCCCACTAGAGTGTAAACACTGGGGCACTTGGCACTTTCAAATAGTGCTCGTCCAATATGGGTTTCAGTGGCTGATAGCAATGAAAGTATCTAAAGAGCAGGTAATATGGCAATATAAGACAAGCAAGATTATAAGACAAGTATGCCATTGTACTCATTATACAGCGGTGCACTACATTAGACTACATTTGTTAATAAATAGTAAACTGAAAATGCTGCTAATGGAGCAGAACCTGCACTGCAGCTTTAAGTCAAGTGTGTTTACTTTGTAGATGCCTTAATCAGTGTGTAAAGAGCCAGGCCATGCAATCAGTTGTGTTTAGATTAGCTAAAATACTCACTCTCCTCCCTTTATTGTTGTAAAGGTTACAGCAGAAAAAATAAGCACACATACCATAGATTGCACCAAAAGCATTAGCCCTATGCTCTCCAGAGATCCTAATGTCACTAGACTGCCTCTTTCACCATTACTGCTCTGATAGGTCGATATTACAGGACTCCCTTTCTCCATGCCACTCCTCGTTTTTATCTGCACTTCCTTTGTTTTTCTAGGAATGTGGTTCAGAGAATAAGCCATGTGATAATACAAGGAATGGGAGAGGTGGGATTTGACGCTCTAGTATTAGCTGCAACCTCTGTGTCACTAATAACAACCTGTCACAGAAAATGATTTATCACTGCATTAACAAGACAGGTTATTGATATCAGTAATGTTGTTAGGATAATGCTATAAAGTCCTCTGTTGATGCTGCACATTGTCACCTATTATTAATTTATGATGTGAGTCAAAAGTGATTAAAATAAATAACAATCCACAAAGCCACGTCAACAGTCTGATGGAAATAAAAGCCTTTCTGGATCCTCCTTCTTTCCTATAATCATTACGGTTTATGAGGAGGTATCTGGAACAAAAAACTTTCACCCTCTTTAATAAACCACATCAACCCATTAACCTCTCATTGCCATCCAAAGCAAAACTCATTGGGCATTATCACCGTGAGAAGCTAGTCACTGATTGTCTGATGAGTTTCCAGCAGGCTGTGTGTTTTAATAACTGACTCGCATACAGTCACAAAATGTATGAGTTCTGTAGATTTGCGGCTCCAACTGAGAGAGCAGAAGGAATGTTAATGAGGATGGGGGATAAAGAATAGGCTGGCTTCATAATTACTATATATACCAAGTATCATAACAATCTAATTGGATGAGCCATGTTTGAAGCAGCAGTAAAACAGCCAATATGATGTATAGAGCCTGTACAATTCAAGTTGTTAACTGCAAACAACATGCAGTTTATTAAATATAGTACTTAGCAGAATCATTTTCTATTTTATTTTATTCTTAATAATAAACATAATTATTGCTTTTATTAATTTAAGCACATTCAAAGGTATAGTTCAACCAAAAATCCCTCAGGTCATGAGGAAGTTGTAGATGGGTTTGTTTGTTCATCAGAACAGATTTGGAGAAATGTAGCATTACATCACTTGCTTACCAATAAATTATCTGCAGTGAATGGGTGCCGTCAGAACGAGAGTCCAAACAGCTGATAAAAGCATGTTGTTTCTGACTAAAATACCTCTATCTAGGAGTTCAGCAGGGGCCAGCAGGGGATGGACATGGATTATGGACTCATATTTTGGCCAGGAGCATACATTAAAATGCCTTAATGACGGATTTGTTTCTTACAACCATGCAGCTTTTCACTTTACAAAACCATAATTGATGGACTATAGTCATGTGGATTACTTGTGGACTATTGTGATGTTTTTATCAGCTGTTTGGACTCTTATTCTGACGGCACCCAAAATCACTGCAGAAGATCCATTGGTGAGCAAGTGATGTAATGCTAAATTTCTTATAATCCATTACAATGTAGAAACAAATTCATCTACATGTTGGATGGCCTGAGAATGAGTACATTTCCATTTTGAACTATTTCTTTAATTGCACTTTTATATATTTATATTTTATTAAATATATACACCTATTCAATGGTGTAGGGCAAATAAACTAAAATGTCATGTCAGGTTGCTGCAGCTGTCAGTATATGACTGTAAATGCTTACTGTGTATTATGGGGCTGTTTCTATGGTTACTCTTCCACTTTTGAAGACATCAAGTGTTCTCTTTTTATCTCACCCCCTCATTTTTTACTTTATATTTGTCATCAGCTGGAGGGTAAGATGGGGAAGGCATCTGTGGCTGGGGGTGAAAAGGATTCTCTAGACCTCAAGGGGGCGCTAAAAAAGGAGCGGGAGGAGCATCAACACCTGTTGGCGGACTCTTACGCTGCTGTGATGGACCTCACCAAACAACTGCAGATCAGTGAGAAGAACTGGAGCCGAGAGAGGCTAGAGCTTCTGGAGCAATTCAACCAGGAGAGAAGTCAATGGGAACAGCATTTACGAGAAGCCCAGAGCAAAGGCACACAGGTCAGATGTCATATGGGGGTTAAAGGATTTGCTCACTCAAATTTAATTCTGTTATTGTTTATTTGTTTTTGTGGAACACTTTCAAGTTTCAAGGGACACAAAAACACCAAAAAGTGGTCTCATAAACTAAGTCTTCTGTACATTTTTGAAAAGACATGAAACATATATTTTTGAAAGCAGCCGATTTTTTCAGAATTTCTCTTTTTGTTCACCACATAATAAAGTCATATGGGTTTGGAACAACATGAGGAAATTACAGTTTTTATTTTTGGGCAAACAATTTTTTATGGTCAAGTTTCAAGTGCATTAAAAGGCTTGCAAAAAGTGGTCTCATAAACTAAGTCTTCTGTACATTTTTGAAAAGACATGAAACATATATTTTTGAAAGCAGCCGATTTTTTCAGAATTTCTCTTTTTGTTCACCACATAATAAAGTCATATGGGTTTGGAACAACATGAGGAAATGACAGTTTTTATTTTTGGGCAAACAGAATTTTTTATGGTCAAGTTTCAAGTGCATTAAAAGGCTTGGAAGCTTGGTTGTGTATTACCAAATCTTGTTCCCCTGCTTTCGTGTTTTTCTGAGTCCTTTTAATCTGTTGTTTTATTTTGGTCTGTGAGGGTGTCGTCATGACATATTTTCGACATAGTTTATCCCCACACTTCCTTCACTGACTTGGGGCTCCCCTCACATAATGGACGGATATGACAGAATCTCTAAACATTTCCGCAGAGCGCCTGCCGACAGGGTCTCTGCATGTTGCATCACTTATCTAGAAACTGATGGTTTTGCATATCCATGTGGCTGTGCACAGTGTGCATAGTCCAATTAGAACGTAGCCTGAGACAAAGTGGTCAGTGTGTCTGTACTAACCACACTGTAAGTAATGAGGCTGGAAAAAGAGATGAGACTATATAGTTTTTGTTCCTTCTTTCTCTTTTGTCTTTCTTTTTGTGACAGTCCATCTCAGTGCTCTAATTTCTCTGTTTCATATGACATCCTGAATGAGAAAGGTCTAGTACCATGCCTCATTGAGAGAATTTGGGTCATTTACATAGACGTGGTGAACCATACCATTATCATTACCCCCGCAGAGGAAACTAGCTGTTTTGAATGATCTCATTTCCTAAAGAGAATATTGTCTGACTCAGTAATACCACATGAATGAATGGGAGTACTGTGCGGGGGGAAGATCATGGCATGCTGCTCTGTAAAACTTCACTAAAATAGATCATTTCCTTTTCAGGCTCTGCATGATAAAACATCTGAAAAGGAAATCTCAGCAGATGCAGCCACCAGTGGTTCAGGACTGCAAAGGTAAACTGACTTGATTAAGGTCTTAACTGTGCCTTGTTTTATCAGATGTGACTGTTTTATGATAATCCCTATTCTTGTTACAGGACCAAATCAATTTCTGCCCTCTCTGAATTTAAGAGTCTGCTGGACACTAGTCTGTTCCTTCCTGGTCACAAGGTCAGTGGAGTACCAGAGTGCAATGTTCCACAGCATCAAACTACTGCTCCTGCCTCCATTCTGGCTCGTACCGACTTAAGTGATCTCAATAAGAAGAATTGGAAGTACCTGACCAATGATTCTGCAATGCTGGAGAAGGGTGACCAGTTTAAGACATGGGACTGCCCAAGCACCAACTCTAACAGCAGCTTCCCTGGACTGGAGTTGAGCAAAGAGTACATCCAGAGAAGTTACACCGCTCCAGATAAGACGGGTATTCGCATTTATTACAGCCCTCCAACTGTGAGGAGAATGGAGAGGAGGCCAGTCAATGAAAAGGCCCAGCAGGATCCTCAGCAAGGACCATCATCTAGAGACGCAGCCATGATAGATCCATCAGGCCAGACTGCTGCATCTGCACCTTTGTCGACAACTTCCTCATCCACTTATGAGCAGTGGTTGAGCTCACTTTCACAGCAGCATAGAGAGCTGCTTGAAGGACGGACGGGAGGTTCTGCACCATTCCACGGACTGGAGATTTTAGGCAACCTTAGTGATGACATGAAAGAGATGACCAACTGTGTGCGACAGGCCATTCGTTCCAGTTCTCTGGAGAGGAAGTGCAGCAAAGATACAGGGAGCCAGACAGTTGGTGTTTCAAGTACAGGAACGCAAACAGCACAGTTTGTCAGCATTGGCCTACAAACCGATGGACCCATTCCAACAACTAGAGGCCTTCAAGGGAAAGCATGGTCTCCTCGTCCATCCACCTCACTTTCATCTGCACGCTCCCGACAGATCTCTTCATCTCTAGAGAAAGTCCACAGTCGCATAGATAGACCATGTTGCTCACCGAAATATGGCTCACCTAAGCTTACCCGCAGGGTCTCCACCTCCTCCTCCAAACTGGAGACCTCCTCAACATCTTCAAGGGATCGCAGTGTATGGAATCTTCATAACCGTAGTGGATCTCAGAACGGTTCGGCCTGGGCACGTTCCACCACCACACGAGACAGCCCAGTGCTTAGTGGCCTCAATGATGGCTTGACCAGTCTCTTCAGTGTGGTGGAACACTCTGGAAGTGTTGAATCATTATGGAAAGCAGATCCATGCTCGGGAAGACAAGCTGCTGGGAAACCCTCCTGTCCTAGCCTAGGTATCGGTCTGGGAGAGGCGGGAGCTCAGAAGTACGGCATGGTCCAGGAGTTTCTCCGCAATGTTTGCGGCAGGACTGTGCCAGCAGGCACCATGGATGAACCAAAGCCTGAATGCCTTCCTGGAGTCTTGATTGGCACAGACAACATCACAAAGATCGTCAATAAGAGGTTTATGAAAACACAAAGAGACGAGTTTGTAGCCACTGGAAAGGATGCAATAAGCTCAAGCTCTAGTACCCTGGAGGTGAGACAGTCTAATACAAGTTCTAGTGTCACCACTGTTGATCTGGTTGACTGCATTTAACCATGAACCTCTGATTGTGTTATACCAGGGCTGGGCAACTTCAGGTGTGTTTGATTAAGGTTGGAGCTAAACTCTGCAGGACAGTGGCCCTCCAGGACCGAAATTGCCCAGCCCTGTTTTATACTAACTCCCCTCTTCCTCCAAAGCATAAACCCTGAATCAAGCAAATATCTTAAAATCTTTTTAATCTTTTTTCTTTGCAGGATTCAGTTTGTGACTGCAGCTCACAAACTGCCACTTCCTGTTTTGCCCGCCACTCCCGCTCCACCACACGACATACCCATGGCCAGTGCAAACATCGAGTGCAAGAGTCACCCATGGGAACCGAAGAACGATTCGATACCAGTAATGAATGAGAATGAGGGTGGCCTCTTGAGACACCCAAAAAGTACACAAAGAAGACAACTGTCAACACTCACCCCACACACACTGCCACACAAATCCACTGCCACATACGCCAATACACACAGACACACCTTTAAACAAACAAATACATACTTCATACCTTCAATAAAAGTCTTCAGGGTTGCAACAATGGGACCTTGAAGAATTCCTGCATCTGGACTTTCCAAACCAGACCTCAGTTTAACCAGCACACTTTAATGCCAAGAAAGGTGAAAGAGTTGACCTCCCCTTTAGGTCCACCATTCCACTGTCAACCAGCCAGATTTCACATTGTAAGTCCATCATTCCAGCGTAAACCAGCCAGACCTCTCCTTAAACTCTACCATTCCTTTGTTCTTCGTCCAGCTACCAGGACAGCTTAGCCAGCCATTTCAATCCCCATGGGAGAACTTGAGTAATCCAAACCAAGTTGACACCAGGTCTTAATGAAGTCATGTAGATATAAAGGGAACATACAGCATGCAACTGAACTACACAAACCAAGAACCTCAACATGGCCTTCAGTAAGATCATGATGTTTTTTTGACAACTGCCCAGTGGCCCTTACTTTTGACCACAAACAGCATTGCTTGGAGTAGCTGTAAAATTGTCCTGTAAACAGCCCTTGATGGATTCTTCAAATTCACAACTTTTTGAGTCTACAATGGACCACTTTTCCCTTTAATGGTTAAGAAAGGTGTTATCACCCAAATTCAACATGGTCTCAATTTGGTATTAAGTTTATGTTATCTATAGACAATCATCTAAATAGCTTGTTTCAACCACTATATAGACTCTGCAACTACTTGGGACCATCTTCCATTTTCAAACCATCCAAAATATGAAATACCCCTGGATTTCTCTAAAAAGGACTGGATGATATGATTGATCATATTGCATTATGGATCTGTCCTTTTTAAAACTTAATATTCTTATTATGCTGTCTGAAGATGTCTACGACAACACGTTTGGTAGCTGTAGAGTAGGAGGATAGCAGTTGTATTGTTTGCTTTGGTATTCGTACTGTGTTTGAACATTAACATTAACACGTAAATCTCCATTCCCTGGCTAGGATGTCCTCATGAATTTTAAAGTGTAATTGTCATTTTTATTCTTACCCTCTAGTTTTACAGAAGACATGTTGCTGGGTGCATCTTCTGCATTCCTCCTCTTTATATTCTCTGTCTACCTCTTCATCCTCCATCATTATGCTGAAATAAACCTAATGGACCTTCAGTCAGGGTAGACGCCAATTTTCATTTGATGGGAATGAAAAACATGAGATAGAAGTACATTCAGTTTAATAGGTGGTACTATTGTGTGTTGGGAACAACTCTGCACAACTTGAGTTGGGAAAATTACCTGTGACTGTAGAAAACCTATTGAACTGAGACCTTGTTCTAAATATCATGCTTGTGGTCAACCTTTAAGGCATAACATTGGTCAAATAATGCTGCAAAGACTGTGGGGTTGTAACTGTATAGTCTATATCAGTGCAAGCTCAGCAAAAGTGGACATAAAAGGTGCTTATTGGCCTAAAAGGGAGCTCGTAAGCACCCTTTTGAAACCTAAAATTGTAAATGGGACACCCTATATGCCCTATTGCGGCACTTGCGGCAGTGTCAATCTCTTACAGCCTCATTCATGCCAAATTGAATGTCGTCTACCCTGACTAAACCCCATAATCCTATTTTCCAGAACACATTTGAAAGCCTCACAAAATACCAATTATGCAGATATTACATATATAAACAGAGATAGGTTTAAAACTGAAACACTGAATGCTAATTAATTGGCCATAGTGAGATTCTGAGATTAGTGAGATTTTATCAAATAATCCCAAAATATAATCCATAATCTGACCATTCATGTAGCTATGCAGTTACCGTAATACGAGTGTGTGCCTCCCTGTATCTGCCCCTGCATCAGTCAAGTATGATTGTAATGTGTTTTCTCCAATCTCCAGTTGGAGTGATGCTGCAGAAACTGAAGTTTAGTCCTTTTTGCTGGTGCTTTTCTTAGATTTGATGACAGTACATTAGAGGAAACATTTTTGTATGCATTTCTCGAGCCATAAGGATTTGTTGATTCAGCTCTTTTATAAATCGGGCATTAGTAAAGTTTCAGAATATCACATTTCTCAATGTCTGGCAAAAACAAAAACAAAACAAAAAACAGTCAGATATTATAAACCACGCCTATTATTTCCCAGACAATGTCTCCTCTTTATCTGTCACAGCCTTGCCATATGTCCCACAGCTACCTCTTAAATCAAAACTGTATCTTCCATTACGTTTAATCCATTCATGTTTCATTTTGAAGGTCACTAGAGTGCCTTTTAAAAAAAATTTAAGCAACAAGATATCTGTTAGGAGTAGGTTTATGAGGAACCATCTAATGATGGCAATGATACAACAGATGTTCTCAGAAGACTGCTGCTAGCTACTGAACCCCTCTGTTTTTTGAAAAAGACAAAAATGAGACAAAGTCTGTAAAGTTAAATGAAGTGCAAATTCAATCTATAGTGTATATTGTAATTTATTACAGTAGCCAAAATGCAGTTTGAGGACATCTAAGAGTGAAATCTGCTAATGTAATCAGTCCAACCTTTCTTTATAAGCCATTTTAACTTGTTTGAATGTTTCCTGAGTTGAGTCTGATGATGTAGCTTTGCCCACTTATACATATCAGACAAACGGTGTACCGTCCTTTCAAGTGCCCCTTAACCCGTTTAGTCTTTGTATTCGTGCTTCTGATTTTGGTCACATGATCTCTGAAAAGACAGGGGGAATGACCTTAGTTCAGGAGCTTTTCGTTTGAGCGCTCCCACAATGCTGAAGTCTTACATCAAACCCTACTGATGGTTTGAGAATGGAAATTTCCCCAAATTTAGCAGAAGAATGTAAATGATACCAATTACACAGTTTCATAGCAATTCTTAAACCAGTGACAGAAGTTTAAAAGGTCATGTGGTTGGTGGTTTTAGATTTAAAGAGGTTGTTTTCATGGGAGCAGCTCTCTGATTGGCCTTCCTATTCACAATATTGGTCTTCATCACGCTGGTGTCATCACAACACCCTGTTTTAATGCTTAGCAATATATACAACACCTTGTCTCTTATTGATGTAAATATTTTTTGCTAAATTATTATAAAGAGAATGCGTGTATATTTCTTTTTTGTTTCCATTTGAAATCTCTTTCGAATGAAAAAAGATGATGAGAGATGGACATTGAGAAACCTTTCTAAATGTTTTAACTTGAAATCAGATATACTGTAAATAAATACACAATTTGTATTCTTTCTATCCTCGTGTAGGAAATGTTGAATGTCTGCCAACTTGAGCTTGAATTCTGTACCTTGCCTCACCTGAATTAAAAACATGAGAAGATTTTGTGTAAATAGAAACATTTTAAAAATAAAAGTGCTGAAAATTTCTTGTTAGGCTTTCTTTTGTCCTTTTTTATATCTGCTTGCGAACTACAGTAGTTTATTGCTGCTTTTCACAATTCACAAACTAACATTAGCTGATAATTAATCAGCCTACTATAACTGTTCATATGTTATCTACAATGTTATGAAAAAAGTTATTAGCATTAGCATTAGCAACAGACTAATTACACCAGCTGTCATTAAAATTATTCACGCAATTATTTTTGTGATTCATTTTTTACTTTTCAATCTGCACTCGTCAAGCCATTTTATTGAGTCTTAAACTGATCACATTCTTTTAATTTAAGCGTAAATGTGTTTAAGTGTATGCATCTGTTGTGGAGAAACTTACTCATCTCTTTGTTCCCCTTTGGAATAAAGATGGTGGAAAAGAAAATTAAGCAGGTAGAAAGAGTGACGGAGTGGTGTGTTAAATCTTCTAGGATATAATGGTTCATGTCCAATCTCTTTCTTTCACTCTCTCCTTATTAACACACACACACACACACACACACACACACACACACACAACGCTAGCTGATGAAGGGACCATGGAAAGGAAACTCTCGATCAGTTGTGTACCGTTGCATGTGTGTGTGGTGTCGGGTTTACTTGGGAAGAACATCTGTGATTTTCTTCAGGGTCATTTTCCTGCCCGCCAAGATTTTTCCCCCCTTTTTTTTGAAAATAAACTAGTTTACATTTGAATCTGAGTGCAGAGAGAGAGAAAGAGATATAGGATGTGACCAAACAGTTGCATCATTCAAAAAAAGAGATTTCCTGTCACAATGTGATGACACCAGCATTAACGTTCATGGTATGATTCAGCGCAAGAGGAGGAGAAGAAAAGGGAAAAAGAAACTTTAAGGGAAAAGCTGTGGGTCTGAATATCATATGAGGGGTTTTGCTTTCAAGCTGTGATGCACAGCAATAATACATTCCATTTCATTCTCCGCTGAGCATAAACATATACCCGCACACACAGTTTGCAACCAGTGCTGTCTTGCCCATACAAATGGGCAGGACGAACTTCAGTACAACAATCTAGTATGCTGAATCAGTCATTGTATTTGTGTTCATTTCTACATTTTAGAATTAATGTGTGGCCTTTTTCTGAGTTTTACTTTTAAAAGCTATAGCTATTTATTAATATCATCCATTTTTCAGCATTCATAACACTATTAGAGTACCTCTACAGCCGTGAATGTCAGTGGAGATCAGGACAACTAGATGAGCCCCAGAGGTTGCACAAAATTGCGCCAAAATATCAATCATAATGAAAAAGTACAGTCTTAATATTTTATATCCTTGCTCAAAATTTTAAAGGGGTCAGCATAAATGTCTAACTTAAGGAAACACGGGTATATGTAGCCATTACATTTAAACACATCACTTCCCAGAATGCATCCATCTCTTTGCCAAAGGATATGTCCATATTAAGCAATATAAACATTTCTGCAGTAGGCTATTTAATTTATCACAACTTCATAATCAGTATTGAGATGAAAGTTCTATAAAAGTAGGCTATTCTTTTTTTTTTTGGTCGCAAAAAAAGCAAAGTTGTAGGCTCACTATAAGCCATTGCAAATTGAAATACCATCGACAATTATAAAATATCCCACCTAAATTAAGGCATGTTTTAAGCCTACAGCAAATATGCAGTCCTGCAATTATGTCGTTTTAATGTAGCCCAAAATTATATTAAAAAATAGAAAAAAGTCGTGATACCGATTTGGACAAGGGTTTCTGCCCCACGAAAATGCATGGTCACCGCACCAATGATTGTAACAGTAGGCTATATGCGCCGCACGCTACTGCAAAATACACATTTGCAGCATAAAATTAATCGCCTGAAACCATACTTTCCAGCGCAGGCAAACCGCTGGATGGATAACCCCATTTCGTCAAAATTCAAAGATGAGGGATTTGCACTCAAATCTATCGGACGACCCTCTACGTTGTCAAGCGACGAATAGGGGGTACCCTCAACGTCGGCTTATGGACGTGAGGGGGAAATTACCAAACGGCAGTATGTGACGAATAGGGGTGAGACCGTGTTGCCTAGACGGCCACCGGGACAAGACCACGGGAACCAGATGAGTCCTCTGCACAATGTGACTTTTTCTCTGCAGCCTGGAATTGAACTGCTGGTTCGTCTGGCCAGAGGAGAACCGGCCCCCCGACTGAGCTTGGTTTCTCCCAAGGTTTTTTCTCTATTCTGTCGCCGATGGAGTTTTGGTTCCTTGCCGCTGTCATCTCTGGCTTGCTTAGTTGGGGACAATATATGTTCAATAATGAACTGCCTTTAACTGAAAATTGAGTGTTTACTATTGTCTTTTTGCATTATTGACACACTATTTTCCTAATTAAAAGCGCTATATAAATAAAGGCGACTTGACTTGAAATAAAGGTGACCATTTACTTGTGGAGATACTCCAAAACAGAACAGTATATTCAGCTTTCTTTTCAGTTTCATTTCAAAGGTTTCTGGTCAGTAAGATTTTTTTTTTTTTTTCAAGAAATTAATACTTTTATTTAGCAAGGATACATTAAATTGATCAAAAGTTAAAGACATTTATAATATTTCAACAGATTTCTATTTCATGAGGGGGAAATTACCAAACGGCAGTATGTGATCGAAAATTATAAAATATCCCACCTAAATTAAGGCATGTTTTAAGCATACAGCAAATATACAGTCCTGTAAATATGTCATTTTAATGTAGCCCAAAATTATATAAAAAAGAGAGAAAAAAAAGTCGTGATACCGGTTTCTGCCCCACGAAAATGTATGGTCACCGCACCAATGAATGATTGTAACAGTATATGCGCCGCACGCTACTGCAAAATACACATTTGCAGCATAAAATCAATCGCCTAAAACCATACTTTCCAGCGCAGGCAAACCGCTGGATGGATAACCCCATTTCGTCAAAATTCAAAGATGAGGGATTTGCACTCAAATCTATCGGACGACCCTCTACGTTGTCAAGCGACGAATAGGGGGTACCCTCAACGTCGGCTTATGGACGTGAGGGGGAAATTACCAAACGGCAGTATGTGACGAATAGGGGTGAGACCGTGTTGCCTAGACGGCCACCGGGACAAGACCACGGGAACCAGATGAGTCCTCTGCACAATGTGACTTTTTCTCTGCAGCCTGGAATTGAACTGCTGGTTCGTCTGGCCAGAGGAGAACCGGCCCCCCGACTGAGCTTGGTTTCTCCCAAGGTTTTTTCTCTATTCTGTCGCCGATGGAGTTTTGGTTCCTTGCCGCTGTCATCTCTGGCTTGCTTAGTTGGGGACAATATATGTTCAATAATGAACTGCCTTTAACTGAAAATTGAGTGTTTACTATTGTCTTTTTGCATTATTGACACACTATTTTCCTAATTAATGCTGTGCAGTTGCTTTGACACAATCTGTATTGTTAAAAGTGCTATATAAATAAAGGTGACTTGACTTGACTATTACTTTAATATGTTATGTAGAATTAAAACAATGGATTGTTTCAATTATTTGAATATAGTTTCATTATCATCTAAGTGGGGACTATGGTGTTACTGCAAATATAATTTTGCATTTAAATTAATTTTTAAATTATAATTATTAAATAATTAAAATAATAATTTGGTCTTTCTGGCAATTTTAAGGGATATATTGACCTCCACAAGCTCAATTCAACTCTGCTATTGGAATAATCACAGTAATCAATTTTTTATATATTTTTCCTAGGTATATTTGTATTTATTTTTATGTGGTGTGGATGGTGCAATGATATCTGGTAGCTAAGGCCATCAGACATTTTGCACTGATCTTAACCCTGACCTATTTTAAATGCAACAAGAAAGCACAAAACTCAAAATAATTCTATTTCCCACACAAACCCCTTCAATAGCACAGTCAAGCTCTTCACTGGCTCTGATGCTGAGTCAGATGTCCTGTAAGCTCATCCTGATTAGACGGAAATCAGTAGCTTGGGTGAGGTGGCCACTGGAGCTTATGTAGGTTGAGTAAGAAGAGAGTGATACTGCTTATCTTGTAAACCCCTGCCAAACCCCTGGTAAAAAAGCACTGGAATTTTCTCTCTCACATAGCATAGATAGCTCAGGTATAGATATAACACATGCTCCCACCTTTAAGTAGGAGAACGCATAATAGTCTAATTTATTCTGCCAGTTACATAACAAACCAAAAATATATTTCTATCATGACAACTCTCGAAAGATTTTAGCATGGTAATGGATATGACAATGTTAATGCAATTAAATAAATTAAAGCATATATAATAACCCACAGCACATCTATACAGGTGGAGCTGGGGAGGTGGAGGGTTTCAGAGGAACTGCACACTGCGAACTGCTCTAGTGAATGCTAACCAACCATTTAAATGTAAAGCAGTAAGCTCAGTGGCTGCGTATGCAAAATTAACCAATCAGCGTGTGCCAAGTTGTTTAACGCTGTGAATATCATCAGTTTGCGTTAACGACCTATCATTCTATGCCATCTAGAGTTTTATGACAGAACTTGGCATTTACACTTTAACATAAAAGATCTCTAATATAATATTTTGAACGATTTCTTTGGCAAAGCATCATTTGAACTAAAATTGAAATTGTGAAATGGCTTTGTGCACTTATAAAATTGTAACTGGGATCAAATTAAATATATAGCCTGTAGAGCTGTGCTGAACCCGTGTTTCCTGAGTCTCAGAGTGGCTCGGTTCACAGTGCAAGCTTAAAATGCATTTGGGAATGCAACATTCGCCAGTTGCACTTTATTTTTCCATTTACATAATTTCCAACATTTCATTACAGCATTTCACTAGATTTGTAATGAGAAGCGTTTGTAAACCTGTTGCCACAGAAACTTAAAGATCTCCCTGCAAAAATAAAAGCTCTTGGAATACAGTATTTAATTTTACTGCTGAAAAGCTAAAAAATTATTAACCTGCATTTACATTTACAGTGCTGCTGCAATAGTAATATATCAT